ATGAGCGGTCGCGCACGGGCCGGTGTTGCCAGTTATATAATTAGAAAATGAAAGGGTGGCGCACACGCAGCCCGCGGCGCGACCACTACTATCGTTCACCATCGTCTGCCTCCTGTAGTGATGTGCTACGGATCTAATTAGTATCGATATAGATATTAAAAAAAACAGTTCTCAAACATTGGTTGTTATAATGAAACGTTAAACGTTACATTACATAATACTGTTACAAATTACTATGTCTGAAAATTACTTTATAAACTTTAATTTCCAACCTATATGTCCTCTTTTATCAATATTTTGAGGCCAAACAGATGGTGAGTTTGAAAGATTTTCTGATTTAACATATCGCTTTCACATGTTCTTGCATTTAAAGTAAAATTAAGTTAATAACGCAGGTTTTTCTTGTAAAATGTAATTTTTGATATCGATATCGATATCGATATGAGGTATAGTAAGTATTGTTGCATCACTCGCATTAAAATTTACTCCCCTTACCCCGGGGCGAATGGCAACATTCTTTATTTTCGAATATTAATAAGGAGCGTGCAACATTACGCCGTATTTCACATCGACTAACGTCACCCGTCCCCCTCGCACATATCTATAATCTATATATTGAAACTCTTCGCACTATCGAATTTCCAATAACGACGACATTTGGATTCAAGATTGTAGATCAGCAGTTTTGGGCTCCTAGTACATGTCTATTTATTAGCGTTTTTTATGGCTAATTACTTGTCCAAAGAAAGTAAGAAACAGAGATCTTTTTTAAGATATAGTTAGTCCATAACATGATTAGAAAATGTAAATATATACATACATATAATAAAATTGGAATGTCTGTAATATAAAAAAAATCAGATTTTGGGAAGGTGATGTATTTGAGTTGCTGATAACGAAAATCGCATATAATTTTTTTTCTGTGTCTGTCTGTCTACAAGGCGCGTTTGTTTCGGGTAAACTGCGAATCGGCTGGACCGATATCGACCGAACTTTCACTGAAGGGCTAACATAGACGGGCTTATAGGCTACTTTTTTATCTTAATAATTTTAATTGTGTGGATGAAGTCACGGACAACAGCTAGTTAGATATAAAGACTATCAAATAAGACGAAAATGGTAGTTCCGTTACTCCTTTCCTTTCTTCTCGTATTACACCAGAATGTTTCATTTAATCTTTCCTATAGACCACAGATTATACAATACCATAGTATAAAGAATTTTATTACCTACAAAGATTAGTTATAGGTATCAATATATTTAAATCGGTTGGTTTAAGATAAATAATTTATCAACAATTTATATGTCAATAGTAACAAGCTGGGTTCATTCGGGTGTCATTAACGCAACCGAAATGTATGACATTATGACACCCGCAGGCCAGTCTCACAACTTACTAACTAGAGTGACCATAAATCAGAAAATTAAAGATATATGAAAAACTGATAACTAGTCTACAAAGAACTAAATATACTTCTTAGAAAATAACAAGATTTTTAATCTAAAAAACGACTATAAGTGACATTTATTTTTCATAATTAGTCGTATAGAACCAACAACACTGGCCTGCATAAATTGACAGACTATAAAACGTAGGATTTTGTCTCTATTTGATTTTGACGCTAAAGTTAGGGGCCTTTAAGCCCTCAGCAGCCAATCGCACAACTGTTTAGTCTTACTTTGTTTCCTATGAGCTTATATGCAGGTACACTACTCGATTTTTAGTTGAGCAACTAAACAGTTGAATTAGCTGCAAAACAATCGACAATCGCACAACTGTTATGCGATTTTTTAGTCAAAGGTGTGCGCCTCTTATATTCCTGTCAGGTAATAAGTAAAGTTGCTCTTGTCAAGTATTTTAAATCCTTTCTTTTACAGTAAAAGTTAAATCTAAATTATAAATTCATGGTGATCGTATCTACATACCAGAAGATTCAGATATCGCGTGACGCGGCGGCCGGTGGCGGTGCATACGGTTTCCTATGGGAACAGAGGCCCATTGCCTCTACCTTCGCCCTAACACGAATTGCAAGGATTTGTTACAAGAATGCGTTAATAAGCTTTCAAATTTGGCATCATGTTACACCGAATTGTAACAAAAATATGTTTAAAAAACACGGGCGTCACAAAGCGATAGATTTACAACCATACAAATGAAAAGAAACATTTACAACCATACAAATGAACGCGTTATAAAGTTACACTTAGGAATAAACTGAGTAATAAGCAAAATTTGTACTAGTATTTCATAGTATTTCTCATTTCATTTGTCTTTTTCGTAGTAGTTTTAATATCTGTTTTAATTTTTAGATTCGCAGGTTACTGCTCTCTTGACTAATTTTTTTAAACAATTGGGGTCTATCTTCTGAACGAGTAAAACTGTTTTTTTGAAAATAACTAGATCCTTCTTTTATCTCTCTATTAAAAAAAGAATTGTTTCATACACAAAGCCCATCATTCGCACAATTCGTACCAAAATATTTGTATTCGATATTTCGGTGTAACATGCATCCACACAAAGTCCCAATTATACGTGTTTAGGCTATCATTTGGGCGAGACTAGGTTAGTTCTTAATACGCACTTTAGCCCTCACAGAGTCGTGACTCTCATTTTTGGTCTTCACGATTTTTGAATTAGAGAATGCAACATGGCGCCGACCTTCGCTGTCAAAATTAAACATCTAATTACTGAATATTAAGTTACTTAAGTATGAATCTCAAATTACTTGAGATAACTTAACGTAACGTAACGTAATGATTACAAAAGATATTTTTGTGTATTTATCTGACGTCTGAGTTTACGGTAAAGAGTTTTCAAACTAGTAATAGACTTAAAAGCCATTAAAAATAAAAAGAAAAAAAGCACGTTGAAGACGAAACGAAGCCAAAGCTGTCATTCCCATTGTTAATCACCTATCCATTTATACAAATCAGTGATTTACGCATTACAAAATGTGTGTGCGTGTCGAAATTATTTGCATTTATAGACAAAAGGAATTTAATCCGCGATTTATCCGTAATTATTTTTGAAATGTCACAATTTTAGTTTAAATATTGTAATACGATTAGCTGACTAGCTTTGAGTCTTGATTCTCAGATGCCATATAAAGATTATTAAAAAACAATCAGAAACAAACCTTTTTCTATACAACTACATTACTACAGTTATATTTGCATATAAAAGAATTGTCTATTATGCATAATCTAGTATCGATATAATCGTGTAATGACAGACATTATGCAGTCTTCCAATTTAATCGGTATTATAGATTGTATCGCATCGTATAACATCGACAACGCTCTTCTCTTGACTTCCCTCCACTAGTGGTGTGTTCATCAACTCTGAACCGGTTAAAAACATCAGCTAATATACTCTTGAACCTTTGAGCTTCGACTCAACAAGTAATTAAAAATAAAAAGAAAGATTTGTATTTTTATATCTGTGGAAATAACTCAAAACTACCGGAACGATTTCAAAAACTCTTATACCATTAAAAGCTACATTATCAGTAGCTAACATAGGTTATATTTTTTAGTTTCACGCGGACGAAGTAGCGAGCAATAGCTGGTGCTGGAGCTAGCCTTTGCCAACTCAAATCATACCTCAATATAGATATAAATTGAGCTGTTCGCTGATTTATTTCACATATGCGAACCCTTGAACTGATCTGCAGTACATTTTTAGTTACCCATCTCTATTCTCGACTGACTCATAGTAATAATAGGTTCGCTAACTTATTACTACTTAACATTATCCATTTCGCTGAATCTTATTCGACTATTCTCTTCTTTACCTTTCTATAATTATCTGTTTAAAAATTCAGGAATTAACAGGTAAAAAGAAGATACGCTAAATAACAATGAAAGTAAAAATTGTTTTCATAGTTTTATAAATGCATTTAGTAGTATTTATTACTTTAATGATTTCCTAAATTTATAAATTGTTTTTAAATAAGTGTTTCGGTACATTGATTTAATAATTATAATATTTTCGTGTTTTTAAAATTCAAACGAGTGTTGTAAACTGATACTGCCATCTAGCGATGAGTAGTAGGAATGCAAAGTTAAAATAATTTGATATTGTTTGATTTTAATTATCTTTTCTCATTTATCATTAGCAAGATTCTTTTTCATCGCAAAACGTTTACGGAAACGTAAATTTCGTTATAAATTTTGACTCTTAACAGTAAAAAGTTACAAAAACATTATAAAAGGTTATGAAATTCGTCACTAGATGGCATAAGACAAAGTGGGTTTTAAAACTATGCTTAATTTTATTAAATTTTATTAAATTGACTAGCACCAAATTCAAAAAACAAATCAGTATAACAATAACATAAAAAATACAAAACAAAAAAACTCATCGCACTTCATTGCCATATTTAAAAACTGGTAGCCTGTTGGCAACATAAAATTAAATGTCAAACATTTTTGTATCCAGATTTCAGATTTCGCTTGTCATCCGAATTTGTAATAATCATTTAAACATTTGTAAGTAAATTTAAAAACAATGGCTTTAATAGATTTCTGCCATCTTGACGAAAAGATTAATATAAAACCCGCGGACTCTCTTGCTTCGATTCAAAATGATATTATCGGGTACAGTCAAAACTTCATGAACAGTGCTCAACTTGCGACTCCGCCGTTTGCGAATGTAAGTTCAGGTTATTTTTATCAAATAACTGTATTTATTGTACAAAGAATCATTATTTCATTATTTTCTTGTTATATTACAGCCGGTTGAAACTTTAGCACAGTTCAACTCAAAGGATGAGACTGGAAAAGACATTAAAATCGAATTCGACCATGGTACCACAACTTTGGGATTTCGGTATAAGGTAAGAATCTACTTTTTATGTTCTTAATTCTTTAGTAGAACTAGTATAGTTAAGTTTTATGTAAAATTGTTTCATCATTCTTAACTAGCTTTTGCTCATGTTTCCTCCTCACAGAATAGAATAAAAATCTAGTATCTGTTCTTCCAGACTATGTTCTACATCTTTGCCAAATTCCATCACAATCCTTTAACCTGGTCTTATAATAAACTAGCTGTTGTTCACGAATTCTCCGGCATAAAATAAAAAAAAAAATTAAAACATAGCTTATGTTAGTCTGTAATGACATAGCTTTTTAATGGTGAAAGAATTTTTGAAATAGGTCCAGTAGTTTTGGAGTTATTTCAATACATATAAAAATACAAATCTTTCCTCTTTATAATATTATTATAGATAGTAACAAACATCCATCCTTGTTATAAGTTAGAATGAAGTATGATTTTGAATTTTCTTTAGGGAGGAGTACTGCTTGCTGTGGATTCCCGAGCCACTGGAGGTCAATTCATTGGTTCTCAGTCTATGAAGAAAATTGTAGAAATCAATGACTACCTCCTTGGTGAGTTTACTTTTTAAACAAAATAACAATGCCTGGATAGAGGTATACGCATGAGTTGACAACTGTCAGTTTGTGGCTCCCAAATTTATAGTACATAGCTGTTTGTTGACTTTGCACATGTGAAATTAGAATTAATAGCCTATGTTACTCACTCATAATATAGCATTTTAATGGTGAAGAATTTTTGTAATTGGCCCAGTACATTTGAGTTTTCAATACATACAAAAATGCAAATCTTTCTTTATAAGTATAGATTTCAATGAGCTGTTAATTTCTCTTAACTGTTCAAGACTATTATAACTGATTAGATGATTTAAATCTGATTTACACATATATCTTTAGGTACATTGGCGGGAGGTGCTGCGGACTGTGTATATTGGGACCGAGTGCTCGCTAAGCAATGCCGTTTATATGAGCTGCGCAACCGTGAGCGTATCTCGGTTGCCGCAGCCAGCAAGTTAATGGCCAACATGGTTTATAACTACAAAGGAATGGGACTCAGTATGGGAATGATGCTTGCCGGCTTTGATAAGCGAGTAAGTTGTTTAGTTCTAATTTTTAATTTGTTTTAGTTTGTTATATGATACTAGCTCTTGCTCGCGAATTTGTCTTCGTGGAATTATAAAAATATTACTGACAGATATTATCCATCTAACTGTCAAAGAATTTTTAAAATCAACCCAGTAGTTTTTAAATTATCTCAATAAATAAAAATCTTTCCTCTATATTATAATGAAAATTACTTGTCTTGGATTTTAGTACAGACAGCTGCAAATACCTATAAACTATAAAACTTTAAATGCTCTTGGTTCAGAAATATTGATGCATGTTTATTTGTTAATAGTACGACTTCCTGATCATGATATAAATATTTGTTCTTTCAATTTTTGGGTACTGAAGGTGTGTACAATTTCCTAAATTTGAATGTAGTTATTTATGCAGCTAACTACTAAGATGTCTTTTTACTATAGGCCTAGTTGTACATTGTCATACAAGGATTTGTTAGTGGAAATTTAACTTATATAGTTTTAGCCTATGATTGTTCTTATGCAACTGAAAAAAATGATTGACTAGACTATGTGCTATCTTTGCTAAATTTTATTGAGCTCCATCGGGTCACTGTGGTGATACTTTTTAACAATCATCCATCCATCTATACATTTGCATGTCTATTCCAGGGTGCACAGCTGTACTATGTAGACAGTGAAGGTACGAGAACTCCAGGCACTGTGTTCTCCGTGGGCTCAGGGTCAGTGTATGCATTTGGTGTACTTGACTCCGGCTATAAATGGGACCTTGAAGATAAAGAGGCTCAAGGTATGCTTTTTATAACTACATATGTTTTTATTATTATTTGTTTACTATAGTTAGGGTTTTAGTAACTTTATTTTATTTAGATTGTCATTTTTAAAATTGCGAATATTTTAAAAAACTTTGACAAATAGGTCTAGGTCTAGGTTTTATAAAAAAAAATTCAATTTGTTAAATGTCCAGATTTACCATATTAACTCAGCTAAAGTGGTTTTTGTGCGTTTTTAATACTTTTTTTCTCTGAGCTGATTTCTAAATGTTTATGTATTTTCTACAACACTTTCCAGAGCTGGGTCGTCGCGCTATTTACCACGCGACTCACCGGGATGCTTACTCCGGAGGCATCATCAGAGTGTACCACATCAGCGAGCAGGGCTGGGTCAACATCTCCAATGAAGACTGCTCCGATTTACACTACAAGTATCAAGCAGAAAAGGGACTATCCGAAGAAGCTTTTTAATTACTTTTTTTTAATAAATGTTCATTAAAATTTTCATGTTGTTTTATTTTGGACAACCCTAGTCATTTTTAATAGGGCTTGAAATTAAAACAAAGCGTAGAAAAACAATTTTTGTTGTAATTTCTAGATAACTGAAATAACATATCTTAATACTAATGAATACAAAATTAACTTTTTTATTTCTATCTAAATACAAGAAATATAGGAAAAGTTACATTTCAGCATATTTTTACGTACACAAGCAAACTTATTTAAAAAAAAAATGGGAAATAAAGACAATTATTCTGCAAAATTCAACAACTATATTTAAAAACATTTATTTATGATAACCTCACTTATATCTTTTTTAAACAAAACACAAACACTAAATCATAAATCAATTGTGACAGTTATAATTGAAGTGTTCAATAAAACTGAATGAGTAGGTAAAACATTAATTGACAGCCGAACCGTTCAGTTTGCCAACAAGCAGTTTTAATTGAACAATTAAATTTTTATTTAAAACTGTCAGAAGAATCTGTAAGCAGGCTTAAGCATATGCTTAATTCTCTTATATACTAGAATTAACACCATCCAACGAAATCAAGGTTATTGACGATCAGGTAAAAGAAGCTAATATTCACTAAATTCAGTTTGAAGTCTGTGACTAGAAATTTATTAACTACAGTTGAAAAACAAGCTTATTCTAATAGCCTTAAGGTTTCTTTTCCTCTTTATCAGTTTGTACAGTCACTTCTTCATAAGTCTCTTCCAATTCCCAATCTTTTAGTGGCACTTCTGTTAATCTGTAGAACTTGCCGTGTTTACCAATACCTAAAAATGCAACGCGAGTTTAATAACAATAAAATAATATAAACAGATAAGGGAACAAAATCTGATATTTTCATCGCATATATTTACACATTAAATTTTTATCAGACAATTAACAATTTGGTGGGACAGGCCCTAAGTATAAATATATAATTGGGTTTACGGACACTTTCATATTATTATGTATTAAAATAAATAAATAAATAAAAAAAAAATACAAGTATAGATTTACCAAGCTACAGAAACTTGTATACTTCCAACTATGAATACTTGTTTTTGAAACCAAGAGCCTGCATTTATAAAGCTGACTGTACATTTTTAAATGTTAATAATTTATCTAAAATTCAAATCATAGCAAGTAGAAAGCCAATATCTGGTTTAAAAATCAATACATTTAGAGCATACAATTACATTTAATCAATGAGTAAGGTATATTTCTCAATTATACTATACAAGCTTCCGCCCGCGACTCCGTCAGGTGGAATTTAAAAAAAACAAATGTGAGTAGCCTATGTGTTCTTCCAGACTATCCACTACATCTATACCGAATTTCATTGTAATCTGTTTAGCCGCTAGACTCCAAACTCTAACAAACATCCATCCATCCATCTAAACTTTCACATTTATAACATTAGTAAGAAGTAAGATTTCTCAGTTACCTGTCTGGAACTTCTTGACACCTTCATCCATATCTTGTATGGCACCTCCGAGCAGGCTGGCGATGATCGCCTCTTCCCTCATACTCTCCTCACTATTGGGGTTCAGTTGGGAATTCACCGCTGCCAGTTTGTCCATTATTAACGCATTTTGTGGGAACTTCACTAAAGATTTGGCTAATTTTACCGCCTCACCGAGTGCTATAACAAACGAATAAGTAGTTTGTACAAAATACTATATTTATAACTACTAATGATATTTTGAGTAGTAATCGACTAATAGATGGCGCTGAATATTAATATAGTTCTATTAAAAATTTTTGAAATCAGCAAATTTGATTTATTTCCATACATACAAAAATACAAATCTTTCTTGTTCTATATTAGTGTACATTATTGAAAATGTTAAAATTACTAGCTGAATGGACATTTAACAGAGAAAAAGTAAGAAAAGGGAAAACAGAATGGA